CCTTCACCTCCGCCGGCTCCATGGCGCCTCCGCCCGCCGCCGCCGCCCGCCGCGCCCGCCCGGCGCAGGCCGAGCGCCGTCCCGCCCGCCGGGCCCGCTCCGTCCTGCCCGCTCCGTCCTGCCGGCTGCCCCGGCCGGCCCCGGGCTGGCGGCTCCACGGAGCTCAGCGCGCCATGGGCGGGCGCGGGCGCGAGCGGGCCCCGCGGGAGAGCGCAGCGGAGCCGAGCAGCGAGGGGGCCGCGCTCCGCCGGGAACTGAGGTCACGGGGAGAGAGGAGGGACGAAGGGAGGGAACGAGTGGCGCTGCCCGCCCCGGCCAGCAGCGGGACCGCCCTGGGCAGGCAACGGGACCGCCCCGCCCGGGGACGCGGGACCGGCCGAGCGGAGCCGAGCGGAGCCGGATGAAACCGACCGCGGGCCGGCCGAGCGGAGCCGAGCGGAGCCGGACGAAACCGAACGAAACCGAACGAAACCGAACGGAGCCGAGCACAACCCGGCTGAACGGAGCCGAGCGGAGCCGATGGAAACCGACCCCGGGCCGGCCGAGCGGAGCCGAGCACAGCCCGAAAGAGCCGAGTCAGGCCGAGCAGAGCCGAGTGTTGCCGAACACTGCCGAGCCCAGCCCGGCCGAACTCAGCCCGCCCCAAATGGCGCCCGCGGCGATGGCGGTGGGGTTCTCGTGACCCCGTGAGGGGAAATGGCGTTGCTCCCTCCCGAGCCGCTGAGAGGAGATGGTGTTGGGTACAGTGAAGGAACTACGAGGGCAGATGGCGTTGGAGACAGTTGAGGGGATAATGAGGGATCGCAAAGAGATGTGGCACTGGGTCTCTCACAGCCCAGGGCTCAGTGAGGGCATGTGAAGGGAGGTGATGTTGGGGACAGTGAGGGCATAAAGGGAGTTGGCACTGGCTCCCTCCAAGCCTTGGGATTAGTGATAGGATGTGGGGGGAGATRGCACTGGGGACGCTGAGGGGCTTGAGGGGAGAATGGCTTTGGGTCCACCAGGGTTCTGACCTCAGTGAGGGGAGGAGGCATTTGGGACTCCCGTGACACAGTGAGGGGACACGAGAGAAGGTGGCATTGGTTCCCTCACAGCAAGGAGTGATGTGAGGGGGTAAGGGAAGCTGGTGTTGGTTCCCTGACGGTCCAGGGGGACRGGAGGGGACAGTGGGACAGTGCTGTTGGGTGCCTGCTGATTGCACACACAGTGGGTTGAGGACACGAGCTGCCCACCAGCAACTCACCCAACCCTCCAAGCCTGCGGCTTTGCTGTATTTTGGGTTGCTGGCCTCAAAAAAAAAAAGGGAAATAATCATGGGGGAGGGGAAATGGGGGATCCATATGGCACCCTATAACCTCGAGCTTCAGCAGTGCTACCTTCAGTTCTGCTCCAGCAACCTGAAATAGGGGATCCAGTTTTTTGCTGGGGTCCATGTGCTGGGTGGCACCATGGATATAAAAATGGGCCACACTCTTCTGATCCAAGCCTCCATCAGTGAGAAGAGCTCCTGAAAGCCTCAAATACAAGCCCCACTTGCCATCAGAGGACMGAGATAGGAGCTGGTGCAAAGACTTAARAWAAATTATAAATAAAAACTAGATTGAGGTGAAGAGTTGTGACTCAGTGCTTGCTTAGCACCTGCATCACCCAAACCTGGTAACTGAAAATAGAACTGAAAGTAAAAGCAGTTAAAAAAYGGGAAAGCCATCAGCTTTCAGGAGTGCATTCCCTGCCATTCCCACCCCTTCCTCCGTGAATAACCTGCTGGCAGGGTAGGAAGGGCTTGGATGGAAAACCCACGCCAGGCCAAGCCTTCTCTTTSCCTGCAGGAACAGCCCAGCCAGTTTAACAGCTCTGGAAACCACGGGAGAAACTCCCAGGGAGGGGAAGGGAAGAGTGCTTGGTTAAAACTGRGCCAAACAAAAAAAAAAAAAAAGCTTTTCCCAGCTCCCCATCAGCCTCTGGAGAAGCAGAAACATTGCATTGAGGCCCCAATGATCAGAGTTATCTTGGCACGTGGGGAAGGAGGTTTCTCTCTCCTGCTGAACTGGGGCAGAATGGAGTGAATCCTGAGCCTGAAGCATCCAAGCCTCATCCCCAACAAGTCACTGGAGAGACTAATGTCAGCTCCTTTTAAAGCAGACCAACAGATCCCATGTACCAGTTTAGTGTTTCCTGGTGAATTTTAGGATTTAAAACATTAAKGCAAACATGCTGTACGGCACCAGCAGGTACATGCATCCATTTGCATTCCTCATTGCTCCAGAGGCACCAGGTGCAGCACCTACACCTGTATAATCCCATTGAAATGARCTTTAAGKTCCCTTCCAACCTATGGTGGAACAGACCTCCTGGTGTCCTACTGTTTTCCTCAATGTTTTGGATGCCCCAAGTATTTGTTTTACTCTGAGTAAAATGAGATGGTTATAACCCCTTAAAGCATTCATCACACAACTGTGGATTTACATGGAAAATTTCCTGCTCTCAGCATTTAGATATCTCCCATTATCCTTAGAAAATCTTGGGAGGATCCATGCCATTCCCACCACATGCTGGGTTGCTTCCCACTCTCTTCCCAAGAGATTTTTAACTTTTTGCTCAGTATTTGCAGCCCAAAGTTGGCACGAAGAACRTGATTCCCTAGGAGAAGAGCCATCAGGTGCTTGTCACAGATGGGGATTGAGGAAGGACAGAGTGAGTCACTGAGGGAAATCACCTCTGCAGCAAGGTGTGTTATGTGCAAGGTACTCCTAAGATACCACCTAATGCAGTGCAGTCATAGGGCACCTCAGTGATGCTGCCAGTGATCTGGGGGGAAATTAAAGAGGCACAAGAAACATTTCAGGAGTAGCAGTATGGACTCCAGCAGGAAAAGAAATTAGTATTAGGAAAATCATGGGGGAAACTGCTGGGTTGTAAGGATAAGTCCACAGTCAGCCCTGTGAATAYACCTCCATTTCCACAGCCAGGCACAAGTGGTTCAGTTTTAAACCCCTTCCCGTTACCATTTGTTAACAAAGAGACTGGGAACCAGACACTTCTTTGGCCAATGGCTCTAGGAAAAATCCATTGGCTGTCTGATGGATTTCAGTCACCAACCACTCACATCCTTGTGCAACTCAGTGCTTTATTGGCAATCATGACACCCTGTAATCAGCACGAACTTTTGTTGGAGGTAATTATGTCATAGTGGAGTGGATACGCTTCCAGGGGTCCCAGCACCCCCAGTGTACCCCCAGGGAATGAGGCAGAGCAGGTAATCRATGCAAGGTCACAGTGAATCAAAAGCCAGGTGGGCCAGCAGGATTTCCCAAATCCCATTCTGGTGACAAACCTGCCCAAAAAGTGRTTACCTTGACAAAGCCACCCCAGGCATGTGCTCAGACATGGGATTGCAGAGAGGTGGGGCAAGAGCTGATGAGAGGCACTGAGGAATTCCTGAGCAATGGCTCAGTCATGCTCCTTCTGCTGACCATTTCCTGAACTATTCTGAGGCAGGAAATTGCATGTAGGAACACTCACCTCCCTGCATCCCACTCTTGTTCTTAACGCAGCCGCTGCATCCATGTGACTGTTCAAAAACCTTCAGCTGTTATTTTTGAACTCCAGACCTCTGTGGGAAATTTTTAGGGGAGACCTCTGTTCCTAAAGGCCCTCAAACAATAAACAAGGAAAACACCAACTTGGAGTGCACATTTATTGCACAGGGCCCTGATCCTCTCTTGGCTGTATAAAGACTGAAGATTTCAGGGTGCCAACACCCCAATTCAGGACCTTAAAGCTCATATTGTTCCATCCCCTGCCATGGGCAGGGACACCTTTCACTAGATCAGGGTGCTCCAAGCCCTATCCAACCCTGAACACTTCCAGGAATGGGGCAGCCACAACCTACCCTTGTTCAGCTTCAGGACATCAGGCTAATTCAGACTGGGACAATCCCAAACACAAACACAACTGTGTCATTAATCTTCATTTTTATACATTACCAAAATAAAACCATCTTCATCAAGCAGAACAAACAAGGCCTAATTGCTCAAAATAAGTTTTGAACCAGAGCATTCAGTCCTGAAATCATCCCCCTGCAGAAGGGAAAGCAACYCTTTGGTGATGTATGATGGGACAGTAGCAGCCCATGCATCAAACCTTCCCCTTTCCCACCCTGAGAACTGAATTCAAAATGTAGTTTTGCTTCATAATTAATGACCTCACTTAGCTCTAACAGTGACACCAGCATCACATGCAGAGCTCTGAACACGTGAGCAGGAAACCACTGCCCAGTTTGTCACAACTACCAATTGATAACCCACTGTGTTTGTGTCTCTTCTCACCAGCACTGACAGCTCTGCTTAGCTGGGATTTAAAATGGCCAAAACCTCAGTGATGTCTGAAGGAAAACTGGAAGTTTTTTCTGGATCTGAAAAGGAATTGCTCCTGAGAGCTTAGGCTTAGTGACCATGCTCCAAGATTCAGAGGAATATCCTCACTGCTCCCTTCCAAAACCTGTTCTACAACATGGTAACTAAGAGAATGGGACTTCAAAAAAGCTATTTCTAACTAAAACTCYCATGAGCCTTCCAGGGATTTAAATGCCAATTTTTTTAATGTCCCAAGAAATTAGCTTCCAGCTCCCGAAAAATAAAACAATCTCCTAACTGGACTGGAAATGAGGTATTTAGGTAGGAGACAAGAAGTGTCCCATTCACTTTCCCAGCAGACAGTGTCGTGGCCAAGTGCAATGTTTTGTGTTTACTCTGATGCTCTTCAAAGTCCTCCATGAAGGACCCAAAAGCCCATCCTCAAAGAACGGGAATACAGGAATTTCTCATGCCTGTTCTCAGGCCCTGCCAACTGGAATAATTTTGCCCAGAGATTTCTAATCATTATGTTGAAAATGGCAGSATTTATGGTAAGGAAAATCCATTGGCTTTGGGAAAAAAAAGGCGGAGAAGGATTTGAGTGCAGAGCTGCCAACCTCAGAAATATGGACAGACCAACCAAGCAACATTATGATAAAGTGTTTATTCATTTTTTTTAAATATCAAATTTTTTTTTACACATAATTTGTTGATAAACAGTCCCCCAATATTAAAAAAAAAATCAAAAAAAGAATCAAATGTGTATTACTTTGGGCAGAACCACATCCCATTGATGACACACCCACTCCTCTCTTCAGCCACCTGTGACGCTGCAGTGTGTTCAGCCCACAAGAGTCAATGACACAAAACACAACCAGCTTTAGGATTCCTGAGTATTGATTCCCTCAAGTTCCCTAAGTGAGTATGTAAAACTCTGAAGCATCAAAGTGTGACCCAAACTGCTGTGCTTTGGATCACRGACTAAGCCTCATCTACACAGTGCAGGAAGAAATCCCTTGAGTGCTTCAGAGGGGAATGATGTACATGAAACCAACCCCATTTCCCAAGCTGACTTCCAAGAGAGACAGGCAGAAACACCTCTGGATTTCTCCTCTTTGAATTTCTGTTAAGAGTTCTGGGGAGCTGTTTGGCAAGAAGTCCAAGTCTGGTGAAGAAACTGCTAGGATCTGTTCCTCCTTTTGTTCGTCAATGGCAGAGTTTTACAGAAAACTGATCTTAAGTTGAACATTCGGCAAGTACACTTAAATATTGCTACTTTTGAGAAGAGGAGATGGCAAGAGGGAGAGAAGGAAGAGGAGAACGTGGAGGACATAACAAGGTTAACAATCCTGGAGACCAAATGTCTACATGGAAAGTTAAAACATACACAGCAAGRAGGCAGAGATTGTCATAACAGTGTAGCTCAGCTCTGTCCTGCAGCAGGTAAACACACCAGGGATGGTCACCAGGAATATTCCCTCCTCTTGTCAGAATTACCCATGCCCAGAAACTTTCAGATATTGGGATTTCACTAACATCACCTCTGTGCTTACCTGCAGCCTGCAYGCAGTCAGCAGGAGGCCAAGCGAATTCCTTCGGTATTTTTAAGGGAAAAAATAAATCTCAAAAACCAGGAGTGGCTCCAGAGCACACCCAGAAAGAAGCTCTACAGACCCACATGAGTCCCCACAGGTGCTGGCAGCTTTACAAAGCAGCTTCTGAGCATTGCTTTACTCTCTAGAGCTGGACTTCCATGGTGAAATCCCTTTATTAAGTGATGTGACATTAGGACACTAACAGCAATGGTTAATGAGGAGAGGGAAGAGAAAAGAACAAAGTGCCTGATTTTAGGCTGGGATACCTGGCTCCTTGGAAACCTGAACAGCTTTTGGTGGTACCTTTATCCCCTGCTGTAGCCAATAAGCCATAGCACTCTGCCATCCCTCCTTTCATATGAATTTTCCCACTCTGTGGGCCAGGTCAGCACAGGGACCAGCAAAGGGGCTGCTAGAGGCTGAACAGAGGATGTGTGTGTGYGTGCAGCAGAGAGGACACACATTGAAACAAAGACAACTTTAGACAGCGTTTGCYAAACACACATTCTATTACATTTTATTTTAACCTTAAATACTACTGCCCCGATTTTATATTAAATCTTGCTCCTAAAAAAATTATTCACTAATTTAGCAGCACATAGSCATTCACTCAAAGCAAGGCTTGGAAATTAAGAGATTTAAATCACCAGGCTTGGACCTACTTGATGAAAGAGTTTTAGAAATATTTATCAGCTGGGGGTCAGGGTTGTTTCTAGCAGTTTGGAGAGAGTTACCCACAGAATTCTATCACTATGAATAAATGCTTCCATACAGCTTTGGCAGAAGGGCAGGATTCAAAACTTGTATTTGACGAGGAATCAAAGTGAGCATTGAAACAGATTGGCTGATGCTCTAAAGCTTTTATAGCATAAATTTTGTATGTGCAGGCTAAGTCAGCATGGCCATGAGAGCAGAGCCTGTCACCAGCTTGGTGCAGAGCAGCACCACTTGGCCCAGATGAGCAATGGCTTCTAAAACAGACAGGGTGATACAAGGGGCTAACACTGAGTAGCCAACACTGAGTAAACACTGAGTAGCCAACACTGAGTGGCCAACACTGAGTAGCCAACATCTGCTGCTCCAAGCAGCTGGCAGTAGATCCATCTGCAGGCGAAGGGCGCAGGTTCAGCTCTCCCAAACCAAGAGAGACAACGTGCCCCGGTTCCTCCTTTACTTTGCTCCCAAGGCCACCTCACCAAGCCCCACAGTGTGAATTGGGAGCAGATTCAGCTGTCTGAAGTTGCTCTGGATCCGGGAGCCTCATTGCTGCTGCTTCTGATGGTGAACCAGATGCAGACAAGAGTGGGTCTGATAATGCATTTGCTAAAGCTTCTAGAGAGACCTGGTGATACTGTACTCTGTACCAGCTCAAGTGTTGCCCTTCACAGAGGGGCTTCTGCTGATTTGAGGTGCCCATTGCAAGGAGAATATTAAACCAAACTTTTAGCAGGGGTAACTCTACCACCTGCCCTGTGAAGAGGAGAAAGCTGCAGTCTGGCCTCAGTAATTCATTTAGAGCAGAGCCTCAAGTCAATCACTGGGTGCTGCTCCAACCAGCCAAGCACTCCTTCCCTCACGGAGCAGTGTCAGCTGCCAGCATCACAAGCAGTGGGATATAAGCCAAACCTGTCTTGGAGCTCCAGGTCTGGATGGTACCATCCCAGYTTATGGAAAAGCTCCATTTGACAGAGGAATGCCTTAAAGCCCTTTGTTACTCCAAAGGATCTCCTGTCTGCCCAAGTGTCTGAGGAAAATGGGACACCAATGATAGCAAAAAGTCCTGCAAAGTGACAGATGAAACCAAATTGGACTTGCTTCTAAATGCCACCTGCATGAAAACAGCCCAGCACACACATAGGAGACCTGCTAAAGCAACAGGGAACACAAACATCAGGACAAAGGCCTGAGACAATGACAACACCACATGGAAGCCGTGAACAAAAATGTGTCTGGTGCTGCTGAGCCATCACTCCAGGTTTAGCTCAATGCATCAAATTCTAGATGAATACATGACACAAAGCCACTTCTGAGATTTGACAGCGAGACTAAATCGAAGTTCCTACTTAAAATTTGRGTTCAGCCACACTTTCCTTTCCCTTCCCCAGTGCTGACAGAGTTTTGGGGTTTTGCAGAGTGTCACAAAGGAGTTAATTGCCCCCAAAGATCTGGAAAGGGCTTCCTACAGCACAGCCTTGGAGAGGCTTCACCACCCAGGTGACTCACCAGGGATATCCCAGAAGGCCACGATGGTTGTAACACAGAAGCCACATCAATGCATTTGTTGTGTAAACCCTGTTGGGGAGCCCTCACTCTYGAGGAGGTACCAGATAAGCACCCCCAGCCATGGCATTCCACAGCCCAGAGGCCAATCRGCCCCAGACATCCAGACAAACCAGAGCAAAGCAGATTCTTCCTTCTTCCAATCACAGCCCTGCTTGGAGCCACTGAGATGAAGTTCATTCCTCCCCAGGCACAGGGGGATTTAGAGCCGTAACACACAGTTGGTTTGTTAAACAAATCCATCATTAAGGTTTAGCCTTAAAGTGGTTGAGCTTGTTCTTTTTGCATGAGGGAAACATGATGTGGGTGAGGCTAGAAAAAAAGGTCAATGCTCCTTTTCCCTCCCCCCATCCCTACAGTTAATACCAGCACATCTCCAAATAAGTTAAAACGTATCTTCTAAGTTTTGGTAGCACCAAATTCTATCCCTTCCCTTCTTCTATCCCCATGTTGTAAACTGGAACACTGGCCCAAGAGCATCACAGAATATTCTGAGTTGGAAGGGACACACAAGAGTCATCAAGTCCAACTCTGAATCAAAGCATAAAAGGGTTTGGCAAAAATAAGCATCAGCCTTCCCCATGCACACCCAAAAACCCACACTCCCCAAAAAAAACCCTTKCTCCTCTGGCAAAGCTTTACACATCCACGAGCATCTACACACCTTTAGTAGCTGCCAGAATAATTTCAACAGCTGGATGTTGGGTTCCAAGGAGCTGCAACAAATCCAGAGTCCACACTGGATYCGGTGTACACCTCCTGTCCTGTGCACATGTGGCCAATTTCCATCACAACCCCCTTTGTGCTGGACAGGGCAGTGAGCGCAGTGGTTGCTGCTATTTATTCACAGCATTGGAGCTTATTCTAAAATTGTACATTCAAATAAAAGCAGTAATTTTAATCCAGTATGCATGATTAAAARCTATCCTGTCCACACAATGCAAAGATGTTTTCTTTCTTTTCAAAGCCCAAATCTAACAAGTGAAACAGAAGACACATGTTACTTTGGCTGTAAATAATTAAAAAAAATCTGGCTCAACATTCTGCTCATCCACTGTGGTGTGGAATTGAGATACTCCTGTAAAAGAAGATTCCCCCAGTCAGCTCCCTCTTGCATAGTTACGTGGGAACAATGATGCTCTTGGCTAACAAAATGAGAAGAGCAAGATCCGCGTTTCCATCCGCTYGTTCCAAGGCCTCGAGAGCTTCCTGTGGGGTAAAACCAGCACTGAGGATCCGGTCAACATCAGCYGCAGGGAAAGCAGGGGGTGCAGAAGCTCCTGTGGTCAGTCTGGTGTAGGCAGCTGCTGGGCTCAGTRGTGGTTCCTCACTCCCACCCACCAGCCACGGACCTTCAGGAGCAGCACTGTCACTTCTCCCAGGAGCTCCTGTGAACAGGCTCTGAGCATTCTGTGGTACACCTTCACTCGAAGCAGATGTGGAGGAAACRGGTGTGCTTTGCTCCAAAGTTGGACTAGATGGACTCTGAGAACCTCCTGCCAAAACCTCCCCCTGTTCTGGGCTCTGCTGGCCAGGTGTGGCTGCAGAACTCACCACGACCACATTGCTCTTACCTGAACCTTTCTCCCTCTCTAAAGCACCTCCCTCGAGCACAGGCTGCCCAGGACYGACGGGCCCAGTGCTGATGTGCTCTCTGACACCATCACAGTGCTGGCTCCCCTCTGCTCCTCCATCCTCACACCTCACCTCAGGGAAGGAACAGCTCTGTTCCTGGCTGGCTGGGTCCAAGCCTTTCTGCTCACCTTCAGGAAGCCCCTTCTGTTGCACTGCTGGCTTTCTCTGAACCATTTCCAGCTGTGAGACTTCTTCTGAGCCAAGGATCTTACATTCTCCTTTGCGACTGATAACCAAGAGTTTGTGAAGCTCTTTCAAGGCTGATGCTAGAGGGAAACATGGCTCTTCTGAAGGTCTTCCTGGATCTGTGTCCAGCTGGTGGATGCTGGAGGGAGGAGAGCTGTCTGCTGCCAAATTAGCCAACTYATACTTTGCAGGAATTTCACCAGTGCTTTCAGACTGCAGGACATTCATGGTGGAAAGTGAGTCAGTCAAGGAGGATGGAGACTTCAGCAACTCCACCTCCATGGAGAAGGCATCTGAGYTCAGGCTGGATACACATCTGTTCTCAGTCTTCTGCTCCCTTGCTGAGCTCTGCAGTTCAGCTGCAGCCTGCTCCACTGCATCTGTTTCCATGGAGGCTTCCATGTGCACTTGGCTACAGGAGGCTAGCAGTTGGATACTCCYTTTCACACAGGAAAGACCTGCTCTCTCCAGTCCATCTCTCATTTCCATGGGAGGATTTTCTAGCTGTTTGGCTTCTGCCACAGCAGGTTTCTCAGCCTCACTAACACAGCAAGGAGGTTCTGGGTCAGTTGTCTCAGTTTGCTCAAGATGTTCCTKTTCTGGCTCTTTGTATGTCTGATGGTCTGTAGAAAGCTCAGGCTTTTGCTCCTGCTCTGCAGACAGACAGACGTTTTTATCCCGCCCGTGCTTGGCAGCAGTGTCAGCCAACTTGACTTTTGTCACTTCCAGTGGATGTTCYTGACCATGATCTTGTCCTTTAGCATTACATTCCTTTAAAATGTCAGCAATAAATGTTTTTTTGAGTGTCTTCTGTGAAAGGCAAGCTGGATTGGAGCAGGTTCCGGTTCCATCCCCGGTGTGCGGAGAGGGGTCATTATTTGCCAAGGAAGAGCTACTGGAACGATGTTGTAATACCAAAGAATGTTCTTTTTCTGGGGTTATCTGGTGTTCAAGTGAAGAGTCAAAAGTCTTGATGGCTCCAGGATCAATGGGCTCTGCAAGGCTGGATTCAGATGAGCAAACTGAAGCAGGGGCAGAGACAGAATGATCAAGTAATTGATTTGTGGGATTACAGATCTTGGAATTTAGTCCCGAAGACTGGACTGGATTTTGAAACCCATCAGAAGCTGGTAATGAGGGCATTTCCAGTGAGGTAGTTTCTTTGTCACTATTCTCTATGGAAGACAGAAGGAAAGGAGCAGTCAGGACACAGCAGAAGCGCCGCTCGCACCGTGGCAGCACAAACTGGAATGGGTGGCTGTAAATACCTGGTCTGTGGCCCACTCCAGCTGCAGTAAACACACACTACATGCATCAAGGCTTCCGACGTTCTGTTTGGATTAGGAAATAAACACACCAAACTYGTGTTAGCATTCAGAGCACACACCATGCATGGTTACAGTCCTGCACAGCTCCCCTCCCGACTGGCCAGCACCACAGCACCCAGGCTGCAGGAGCTCCTGCCTCCCAGAAGGATTCTGCCTGGCAAATTCAGCACCTCAAGGCAAAAGTAACTGCCAGAGCAGTTTAAAGGCTGTTCTCTACTGTCTATGCCACAGAACAGTCTGTGAGTGAGAGTACACACTTGGTAAACTCTACACAGAGTAACACACGTGTCCAGTGCTGTCCTGGTTTGTTCTCCCTGTGGCTGGAGATACACAGGAGACACGTTTCAGGGATATGAGAACTGAGATGGCAACACAGTTCTTGAGTTGTGCTCCCAGCATGGCCATCAGACCCAAGAGAAGGTGAACACCAGCCTGCTGCAAGAGGGAAGTGTATGGATCCCAGGGGGGAAGAAATCTCCCAAAAGAACTGCTGTCCAAGGCTGGGAAGAGCAAAGCAAAGAAGCAGTCAGAAGTCAAGCCCAGCTTGCTGCTCCCATGTCCTCACAGAGAGCAGAAGAAYTGCAGATCTCTATCAGTAGCACCAAACACTGGATGTGGTTATCAGGGGAGATTAAGTGACCTTATCTTGCTGACAGTCTAATCTCGCTGATGTATCAGCACTCTCACACTCATTAAATCACTCAGATAACCTTTGCAGGAGYGCCTGTCCTGCCACCACAGCCCTGCTCTGCCCAGGCTCACACACCCAGGTTCTGTGCTCTGTGATTTGCTGTCCTTTCCCTTCCCAAATTTAGAGGTCTTAAACACACATCACTGGTTTTCCTGGAGTCTCTTTTTGCAGAAGTACTGGGGCACAGCTTGCCATGCCCACACCTCCAGCCAGGATTCCCTTTAAATTCCACARCGTGGCAGAAATCTGCCTTTCTCTCCTCATCCTTGCTCCTTTTATTGTCTGTTAACTAAAACCAGTGCAGTACCTGCCATGACACCACCCCATACTCATCCTTCCTAAGGGTGGCAAAGAGCTTTGCGACAGAGGATATGGATGAAAATCCGAAGGATCCTTTCTGTTTCTATGTGGAATGATTACATTCATGCTCTCTCCTCCCAAACCAACCCCTCAGGAAGGAAGCAGAACTGTCTTTTGACCTGCTGGATTGTTGATGTTCCAGCTCATCAGGGATTTGCATTTAGGTAGCAGCAGAGCTGGTTTTCTGCCAAGCACTCCTCAGTGTCATCCTTCTCCTGGGGTATCCTCAGGAGCTGAATCCCACCCCACCTGGGACACTGATCCAGCTCAAACCAGGAACAAACTCTTCCCCACAAAGTGCACCATCAGGGATAAATTCCTCTCTGAACCAGGAACAGCCTGAGTTGTTTGTGGTGGCAGTGACTCGGATTGAGGCTGCCTGGATGAAAAGGTGTGTGTGGGATGAACTGCCTGGCTACACTTCCTCCTCAGCAAAACAGCTCCAGTTTTGCTGCCAGGTTTGTAAATGCTCCATGATCTCCGAGTTCCCCAGTGGTGGGAAATTGATACAAAAGAACATCAAGGCCTCAGAAGGTCTTGGATCCCAGTGAACCCACCAGGACTCCACCACCACTGAACCACCAGCAAGGCAGCTGACAAAAATCATGAGGCTCCCTAAAGTGGGCTTCAGGGGATTAAATAAAGCTCAAGGATAATCCAGGTGCATTCAAAACAAGCACTTTAATAACCTCCAGGTGCACGCAGCCATTTGTGTTCTACCATCTCCTGGAAGCCAGCAAGAATTCCAGCTCTTATAAAAGAACACATGTGCTGTGGGAAGCTGAGCTTCTTGGGAGCGGCATCACGTTCTCTTTCTGTCCTTCTTCCGTTTTCTGTTTTTTCTTTTCTTGGTTTTCTTGGTACCACCTAGCAGCAACTCAAGTTTTGAAAGAGAAAAACAGGGAATGTGCTGACATTTTAGGATACAGCCAGAAAAAGCCTGTGGGCCAGAGGCTGGTACTGTGTCTAGAACTGTCAGGACTGTCACAGTCAATCTGAACATGAGCCACTTTAAATCTGTGCCTTGGTGTTCTATGAGCCTTAAGTGAACACACATTTGGATCTCATTTTCCCATAAATCTTTTACATTCCTCTAGGGCTCAGCATCAATAGAAAGTGTCCCGAGTGCTGACTAGCCTGAACAAAGCCTCATGGGTTTTGGGTTTTTTTTTATGTGGTACATAAGCAGCTTGTATTTAAGTCATTTCAGGCACTTTTCTTTAAAAAAACACTCTACTATAATGTTTTTATTGTGAAGACTCATAGTTTGGGCTGAGGTTTGCTTGTTATTYGACCCTTTCAACAGAGAACTAAATCAAACCAACTATAATATCTGCAAAGTCTCATCTAAAGTGGAACTATATTGCAAAAGCTAACCCAGGCTTCATTAGGCTCCAGGTTTTATAAGGAAAAGAACTAATATTTACACCTGCCAGCTGTGGGAACAGACAAGAGCCCAATCTCCTGAGCCTGACGTTCAGCAACGTCAAAACCCCATCACAAGGTCAAACCCATGTTTGTGTTTCTCTCTACTGCCTGCAACTTGAGTTAATAAACATTCAAATTTGGCTGGAAAAGTCACACTTTTAAWCTATTTCTTACTGATTCATTAAAGCCAGGCCTTCCTTCTGAGATTTTCTACATTTCTGGAAAACTTACATTCTTAGGAAGGAAAACCATTGGCCAAAGGAAGAAATAATAAGTAAAGTCCTGTGCTCCCCTTAATATTATCAACTTCATTATTTGTAACTAACTGCTTACTCTGTGGGCTGTCAAACAGTAACTGGGAAGTGTTAAAGAAAAAAATCAGTGCATTTCAATCAGTTTTATATATATATATATAATAAAGTTTAGTTTCTAATAAATACATTAAATATTTATGTAATWTATGGTTAAATATTTTTATCTCATTTCAGTTTTAAACATGGGTATGGGTATTTTAAACATAGAGTCTTAAAAAGCTAGCAAAAATGTTGAAATAAATTTGATCAGCTTAAACCTGACCCATCAAAGAGTTCTACATGTGTGTGGGAAGTAGAATTTACTGTGTTCTTTCAGAGGAAAAATGTGCAGTAAAACTCAAAGGTCTCTAGAGAACTCTTGCATATAAAATGTTATCTTTAGAAGTTTTGGAAAAGGCTTAAGGAATACACCCTGAGGTATTCACAGCTTCACTGGAAGAGCAGGGAAAAAATAATTAATTTTTTCTTTAGCTAAAAGCTGAATTAAGGGAGGAGTTGAACAGAAAATCTAAGTTTCAGACTGTTTTTGGCTCATAGCTCAGCTTCCAGCTGTTTTGGCTGAAAATAAAATTACTTCACTAAATTTTGCAGCCACCAAATCTCCTGTAGCCCAGTCATTGCACTTGTGCAGCATTTGGATTCCAGGGCTACTGGGAACAAAATTACAGGAGAGCCAAGTTCTCTGCGGGTCACATTTAAGGCTGAGGATGTGAATTCAGCTTTTGAAACCTTGAGCAACTGTAAGGAGGAAATYCCCCCTCCAAGGACATGAGCACCATTCCAGGGAAAAACACTGAAATAGTGAGATTTCTAAAAATTGTCATGAGCTTCTGTCACTGCTCCAGCTGCTCTATTTTCACATGGTGCAGCCAATAAGAGTGGGGWTTCAGAAGCCTCCCCAAAGCTGTGCTCACACGAGGCTGCAGAAGCTGAGCCACATCCCGGCTGTGCACTACAACGTGATCCTGGCCACAGACAACCAGGAACCTGCACACCTTGAAAGCCAAGAAACCAGAGCGGCTGGGAAGYTGCAGGGAGAGCACAAATTAAACAGCAAACAGTACCTTTGTGCAGGTTTTGCAGCGCAGAAAGGAAGAGAGAAGTGCACTCACAGGCYACGAGCAAGAATAAAGCCCCTTCTCTCCACCCTTCACTGGCTGATGCCACTCCCAGGAACTGGAAGTGGAACTGTTCACAGAAAATCCTGACATGCAGAAAAAAAACCTGCACAGATTGCTATTTCAGCTGGGTTCCTGGTGGTACCTGCTTCCTCTACGGATTTCTGTATTGCTTCTGCCAGCTCCTGGTCGGCGATGTCCTCGGGCCGCACGTCGTCGCGCCCTGCGCCGTACGCCAGCCGGGCACACTCGGGCAGCTCGCCCTCGGGCAGGAAGGAGGTCTGTGAGCCCGTGGTCCCAATCACCAGCACGTTCTTCTTGAGATCAATGGAGCACTGCAAAGAGCAGCAAGACATCAGGGGCCTGCGGAGAGCCACGCAATTCCCAGAGAAAAGGGAGGTCAGGCAATCCGTCTCCAACCGGAACGGCTCACAGCAGGTAAGGTTGGGCCAGAAGTATCAGCTCTAAGCAAAGGGCCCTGTCTGACTCAACTGGTAATAAATCATTCAGCTGGAATGCTCTGAGCATCTTTGATCAGCAGCAGCCAGGCACCCCAGAGCTGTCCATGACAGATGCAGTGTACATGCTTCCAGGCTGGAAGATAATCCACCATCAACTCTCCCCAGGAAAATCTTAATAAATTCCCAGGCAAGGCATTCATGTCCCACTTCACACTAAACCTGGAAGAGCCAGTTAATTGTTTCAAAAGAGGTTTTGATACCTGATGCCTCTTAAGCATGTCCAGTCCTAGGAGCATGTCCATGGGCTGCTCTTCAAGGATTGAGAAGGAGCACGCCAGGAAATCCCCTTCGATCTGCACCTGAGCTGAAACACAAGAGAGAAAAGTTCCTGCTACAGCATAACAAATCTGCTTTCTGCTCTTCCACCTCCAGGAAAAGGTTTGGGCAAATCTGAAAACAGCATTCTGACRTACTGGTTTGGTCACAGAAAATCTAGCCCTGTGCAAGCTCCAGGACTGCCAAGCCTGGTTAATGGTTCCAGATTAATTATTTTAAAAGCTCATGTGCCTAACAACCTCGAGTCCTTCTTCCCTGATCCTCTAAGCTCGAAGGGCTGCAAACAGTTCATTAG